GACCTCTCTCTGAATAGCGTTAAAGCTAATTGTCGCGGGATTTAGGAATCACCTCACTACAGGGTCGCACCACCTTTGGTGACTCTATCGAAGATGAATGGGTCATTGTGTACTTACTCCGTGAACTGACTAAGCGGCACAAAGATATCTGGGTCAAAGTGGCGGATGGCGATGGCGAATTTCTTCTGATTGAGGCTGCGGGAACACTCCCAGCATGGATAGAGCCAGATGTCGCAGACAATAGGGTGAGCTATGGCTTGTTGATTCGTGTCGGCTTATTCAAGATATCATGCTAACCAGCCAATCTATAGGTGTGGATTAACCAAGGAGAGCTCCGAATCATCAAGCCTAAGCAGGAGGCGAAGAGACAGGTCACGGAGAAAATCTCACTCCCAGAGGCACGAAAGATTATCCAGAATGAACCCGGTCGCCTTCTTCGCTCGACAATAATTCAAGAAGAGGCCTTTTACCGTCTGCGCAAGTACCCGCAGCAAATCAGCGAAAACCTCCACTCTGCCATCATTACAATTCCTCGCAAGGTCGCATTTCTCCTACATCAAAAACCAGCATATATCTCGCCTGCGGTGGAGGCGTTCTATGTTCGTGATCCGATCGCCATGCGACCATTACGAGCGAAGGATGCGTCCGACCTTGTTTTCAAGCCGGATGACTTGGTCGACGTTAGTGTTCGGTTTACCCGTGTCGGATATGCGCAACTCAAAAGCCAGGAATTTCCGGTGCCAAAGACCTGGGCGGGCAAATTGCCCCCAACTGAGGATCACAAAGCATATGAGCGGGCGGAAGCGGGGATGAAACTGGCGTGTGGGTTCGAGATGCTGCTGTACGACCCCCAAAATCAAGATAAGCCTGCAGTCAGGGAAATGAAGTTCCTGCTCGAGGATGTGGACACAGGTGATGAAACCCTTCCGACCGATCAAGAAATCCAAGAAACCTGGGATAAGCGAGAAGACGATGAAAAATGGCTGGATATCAACTATGAGGATTTGGAGTCAGAGCTCAAAGGGAGAGGTGAAGGAAAGGGAGCAGATGCTGGCAAATTCGGTGACGCTGGTGCCCAGGAAAATCTTCAACGGATCGTGGCTCGATTTGAAGAGTTCCTGAATGACAACTCAGCGGGCTTCGATGGTGCCGATTTCATTGATGACTTTGAGTCGGATTCCGACGTCGACGATGATGATGATGACGAGGAAGTTGACAGTGAAGGCGAGGATAAGGATGCGTCATTCAACGAAGAGGAATTCTCTAGAATGATGAAAGAAATGATGGGCATGCCCTCTGCACCCGATTCCATCCGCAAACGAGTGGAAGAGCTTGACTCGGACGGGGAAGACGACACGGAGCAGATCAAGGAGCTTTCCCGACGAATGGAGGCGGAATTGCAAGGTACGGGTGTGCTCGATCTCAACCGGCGCCCGCAAGAATTGTCTTCTGGGGCAAGTACATCCAAAGGAAAGGCTGCCAAGATCTCCAATGAGGATGACGAGGATGAGAACATCAACATCAACCTCGCTAAGAATTTGCTGGAGAGTCTTCAGGGCCAAGCTGGAGCCTCCGGTCCGGCGGGCAATATGCTGTCAATGATGAACATGCGCATGCCCAAATATGATCGACCTTGAAGATGATATGCTCGAGCTATGCAGAGTCATCATTCGACATGCCCGAGAAAGGAAGAACAGACTCTGAATCTGCAATGGATTTAATGCCACCCCATGCGATCGACTGAAGTGTCTCGTTTAGTTAGACAAAGCGATCCGTCGACCAAAGACAGGGGTTGTTCCTATTGTGGTTGCTAGTCAATATGGTTCCCGAGGTCTATGATATCGCCTTACACCCCCGCCGCAGGGGATGAGAGGGTTGGCGACGCGGCCGAACCGACATCCTTCAAGTGCCATGCTGGCTATTGATGGAAAAACAAGAAAAAAAAAACATTATGATTCCATCTTTCAGGTGGATTCAACTATGTGATCTAGGTCGGGCTTAACAATAATTCCGCCTAGGGCGGCTAATGAGGCCTTGGTGCCTTGATATGTTTTCTCTAGGTTAACTACGGATCAATTACATATCCTTTCAAAGATGTAATTAAGTCGGAAATAAATTAAATGTCTGCTAGACCCTCGCGCCTTCTATGGATGTGTATATGCAAATTCACATAGAACTTGGCCACATACAGACTAAACACGTTCCACTCCCCTAGGATATATGGTTCAACGGGACGGTCCCTAGCAGCTTGAATAAACTTGCCAACTAGTGCTAGTGGGGCTAGCTAAAGCTGCATGATAAATATTATTCAAACCGATAAGCTATGTATGCAGACTGGCATACCCGCAGGGTGGCGACAGCTGGCGAGAGCTCCGTAGTACCCATATATATTAGGGCGAAATTGTCGATGGAGCAACGGTTCTGTGGAGTCGAGTGGTGACCAGATCGTGTGACCTGCTATTATCAAGGCCGTGCAGCCGATTCCAATGATCGTATACATACTCCGTATATTGTTCGGTGTTGTAGATACTCGAATGTATGTGGTACCTATGCATTGCATCTATGACGCTGATCATCAATCTAGTACTTTAAAAATCCCACGTGGCTAGATCGTCAATGTCTTGGATCGAGCCAAGTGTTTGGGCTTGCCGATTGTGCCTGACCTCGGGCCAATATAAGAATGTCTCATTGCCGATCCACTTCTGCATGAAAACCATATTGGCGTTTACGTACGAAATACATAAACCACCTTCCCAAAACAATCGGGTATCCGGTTCGTGGGTGGATAACCCTATTACACGGAGTACGGAGTAGTATATAAGGTATACAGTAATACAACATATCCATTTTTGTCTCACGTGTACTCAGTAGATCTTGATTGTGGAACACATGAGTCGGTGTTTTATGTGAGTCGAGTCCATGCCCATGTGGGTATACCACTACGTTCTGTATAACGTAGGGAAACCCATTCCGCCCTCAGTGCGGGAATAGATATTCGGTACTGCGTACTCCGCCTGCCAAACGCCGGTCAAGTGTCGTGTGCTTATTTGGTGGCGAGATTAATAAGGGGATCCGCTCGTCAGTGGGTTGTCGAGTGGGTTTACGGTTCCTTTCGTTTTCCGTTACAAATAGTATCTTAAATCCCTCAATCCTAAATTAAAAGCGATGGGAAATCAATAATGCCCGCGGCGTGATAGGGTGAGATGACATAGTAGCCGGGATGAAGAAATGAGCCGGGGTATATCACTAAAGGGTAACTAGACGACAGGATTTGACACATTGTATGGAGTACACCACTAGTGCCACCTAGCGTACGGAGTAATCCGTACTTAGTGTGCGACTACTCCGTAGTCCGTACGGAGGTCACCTGGCTTCGTATGTCGGCAAGGATCTAGGATTTAGGAATCCGGCCCAATGCCGGGGCTCCTATTTCGGAGTATCAAGGTCTGTTTCATCTTTTGGAAACAGCCTGGAAAAGATATGCTCACCCGGTGGACGAAATAGGATCGGAGATGCACATTAAACCTCCGTTTGCCATTTGGACGGATGGAATACAAAGTCAATATTTGACGGAGTTTAACTCCGAAGAACACCCTCATCCGGATGAAAGGGGGATTATGTTGGAGATCCTTCGCCTCGAGTATATTGAATATCGCAGACGATAATGTAACGGGGAAAAGGGATATCAACGATGACCCTACGACTCCCGGAGGCTTGGAAATCCCAACACAAAGTTTTAGGTCCCTGCTGAACACGCTAACATGGAATCGGCCCCGATTCCCACTTTTCCACGGAACTGTTTGGTGTCCCACTTGGGGAAAGATGAGCATCTTTTTGGGATCCAAAGATCGTCTGTCCAGTGTCCAGAGGTCAGGGAGTGTAGCCCATGAAATTATGTATATTGTACACATCCAATACGATGACGTCCACCAGCAAATCGGAGGACAGGGAATTCTTCCCTTTACCTCCTTGCCGTGCCCCTAACACGGAGTTATCTCCAGATTACTCCCCGAGAAATCCACCGGGCAGATGGCTGGAATAGAGACGGCTGTCGACTGATCTGACACATGCTGATTTTTGAGTAACATGAGAAGTGAGAGGGGAAAAAAAAAAGAGAAGCTACATCTATACAGGAGGCTGAGAGAGGAAGCGGTGAGCCCCTACCCCTGTCGATTCCTCTGATAGATCATATCAAACCTTTGAATTCATTGATATAGATTGTATGGATTGATATATGTATCAAGATGAAGATCATAGATGTACTCCGTAATATTCAGTCAAATTCTCTGCACGATCATTGGTACCACACATATTTCCACAATAGAGCCCCTGTTTGCAGCCACTATCTCCACTTGTACGCAACGGTCCAAGGGCAAACGAGAACAGCCCCTCGGGACAAGGCGCTAGGCAAAGCACGGAAACCCAGGAATATTAATGGTCGGCCCGATTTTATAATGACTTTCACATGCAGCAATCCAGGAGAGGAGCATGAAAGAATGTGATCGGAAGACATCCGGAAGGGTGGTGTAACTAGAGTGAAGTACAGCCATTCAAGGGAAGAGATAAAGCGAGATATAAGATATAAGAAGCGAAGACGAAAGAATAGAAACGAAACGAACGAAAATCCGAAACCAAGTGGATTCGACGTTCTTTGCTTCCATCGACCTTCCATTTGGGAAGTTCCCGAAAGCGCAACTCCCGGGCTTCCACCGAAGAAGTTCCCCCCCAGGGCCTTAGCCCCTTCGATTATTATTGCTTGTCTTCTTATTTATCACATCACAACTCCACTACTCCGTACTTCTCTTTCTTTTTAATATCTCAACTCGAAACCCCCTTCTCTTTCTTCGCCTCTTTTTTAGTTTGCCTTTTTTTAACCTTCTCCCCCCCCCTGGAACTGGTCGCTGTGTGGACCCGCATACCGGCCTTTCGTCATTATCCAGTCACAGCATGCCTTGGGACAATGGACTAAAGATGCTGGTTGTTGCTTGATCAGGTCCACCATGGATTTCATTGTGAGTATAAAAAAAGTATATCCGTGAGCTTAGACTGACTTGGGCAGCTTTCTTTGACGCACTTCTGCGAGGTGCATGGTCCAACCTCTATCATATGCTCGCAGGTCTTACCTTTTTCATGTCCGCAATGTCACCCCGAACCCGATCACTCTCCCCAGGGTACCCCGGCTTCACATGAATCGCGCTTCGATGAGACTCGATCGAATAAATCTGCCGAGTCCAAGTCGCCTAGAATTGAAGATCACCCATACTTTCTCAAGGGACATCCGACCTCACCCGATGAAAAATCCAGCCGAGGTGGTGTGAATGGCGACACCTGCGCGAGTTGCAGCTTGTCTCTGCCAGAAAATGTGAGCAAACAGCTGCCACCCGGGGCGCCTGGAAGTCGCGACGCCAAAGGCAATTCTACTAGTCCGGTGCTTCGCTCGCGCGAGCTCGTTTACTCATGTGGCAACAACCATTCCGAGGTGGATGATGAGACCGACTATCACACTCATGCTTCTCCTCCCGAATCACTTCACTCTGCCTCGGTTGCCTCCGATTCTTCATGCCACACTCACATCCATACCTATCTCTCCCAGCGCGGGCCGCCTAACCCCGCCGACTATGCTCTTCTCCGACGCTCCTCTATTCGCACCCTGAGCTGTGAGCTCCTGCCCCGGGGACTTTCGTCCGGCCCGATCTGCTTCGGCGACGGAGTCGCCGGTTACACCATTGCCTACATTTTCCGTCTGCCGGACCCCATGGCCCGCGGCAAGCGACGTAGTTATGCACTGGTCGCATTGGCGGGACGAGATGCCGGAAGAGCATTCCGCGCATGTCCCATCATCTGGCGTGCATTCGGCCGCATCGCCACTAGCATTGTCCGCGCTGCTGAACGCTTCCAGGAAGACGAGAAGACCCGCGATGAGCAGAACAACCCAAGACAGGCCGGTCGCCAGTACCCTCCCGTTTCATCCTTCCTCACCGGCCGGGGTATGGACCCGGCGGGCCGGCGCGCGGCCGGTCAGATTCGTGCCCGTAATTTGGCCGAAATCGTCGGCAATGAATACATCTTTACCGAATTACATGCTCATTTCGTCGCGCTTCTGCAACAGCTGGGCTTAATGTTTGGCGGCATCCCTCTCAACGAGGAACGCTTTGTCTGCAGCACCGTGGGCGACGATGAAATTCCTAGTGCTTCTCAGCCAGTCCTCGTATCTAAGGCCATACAGCCACAGAACGGCCAGAAGTATGACACCAACGACATCGACATGTCTACCCTTGAAATCTCGGCGGGACCCAAGGCGATTCCCATTGCGCCTCGTCGTCCCGTCATGGCTTGAAATAATATTTTCGTCATTTGCATGAACCTCTTATTGAGATACCCGCCTGCTTTGTTCTTGTGTTTCAGGCACCTTCAACCTTGAGCTTCTCTTATTCTTTGTTTTTGCGCTTTATTTTGTGCTTTTATGCCGGTTGGCAAGGTGTTTCGACCGATTTCTGCATTGCTTCCTGCATACGATTCGGCATTTCCTTGCTTTTTTGTTTTTTTGTTTTTTCTTTTTTGCGATATGGGCATGGGCATAGACTATGGCGTCTGACAGACACGGAACGGAGTTTCTTGTTTTACCAGCCTCGTTTTCGGTTTTTTTCTTGAAGGGACATGCCTTTCTTCTCTTGGGCACCTCGTTCGATCTTCACGGAGTTCGATTCGAGCACGTCTCTAGCGGGTTTCCATTCTTGGGACTGGGGCTAATTTATGATTGAGATGTCACGATCGCACGAGGCATTCAAGAGATATGTATTCTATGTATTATTTGAACACGAGTCAATCTAAGGCCATTGGCCACTTTTCTATTTCGGAGAATCGAGTATTATTGTTTGCAAATGTGTGGTATAGTCCGGAAGAATCCCGGGTAATAGTGCCCTTCTAGGTTAATCCGGCCACGGCCACAATCAAACCTTGGAAAATCCCACCAAAAAGAACAGCAGAGACAAAAGACCCGCATCACCTCCCACCTCCCTCCAGCAATATCAAAATGGTCGCCTTCGACAAGTGTGAGACCCGGCCGGCCCATATTGAGGCAATCCTCAATGGCCTCGATCGGTACAACCCCGAGACCACCACCGTCTTCCAGGACTATGTGTCCCAGCAGTGCGAGGACCGGTCATTCGACTGCTACGCCAACTTGGCCCTGCTGAAGCTGTGAGTTAGACCCCTTTCTTTTAGCGAGGCATTGCATTGCGAAAATCATATTTGGAAAGCTCCACTATGATGAGTATCTTTTAAAAACGTTTCCTATTACCTGACATCCCATAATATACTTGGGAATGTTGAGAAATTGAAGATACTGAACGTGAAGAACCCATTGATTGGTTGCCTAAATCATCGTAACATTTGCGAATCCAAGCTGACAACAACACTCTTCAAAAAAATCCAGCTTCCAGTTCAACCCCCACCTTATCCAACCCGACACTGTGACCAACATCCTGGTCAAGGCCCTGACCGTGTTCCCCTCGCCCGCCTTCTCGCTCTGCCTTGCTCTGCTCCCAACAAACACCCAGCCCTTCCCCACCACCAACGAAGCCCACTCCGCCTCGCAGACCTCCGACTTCGTCGAGTCCGTGCAGAAGCTCACCCGCCTGTCCTCACTCCTCGAGTCCGCCCAGTACGCCCAGTTCTGGTCCACTCTGAACTCGGACGACCTGTACGCAGACCTGACCGCCGACGTTGCCGGCTTCGAGGAACTCGTCCGCATCCGCATCGCTGTTGAGGTCGGCAACACCTTCCGCTCCATCACCGCCGAGAACCTCGAGTCCTGGCTCGATGTCCGCAGCCGTGACGCGCTCGACAAGTTCGTCGTCGACGTCTGCGGCTGGAAGGTCGATGGTGCCGTCATCCGCGTGCCTACCAACAAGGAGAACGAGGCCCGCTCCGAGGTCAAGAGCGAGCACGTCGGTATCGAGCAGTTCGGTCGTGTCATCCGCCGTGGCTTCGAGTTGCCCGCATAAGCGCCTACTGCGGAAGCTCTTTATTCTTGATCTTCTTTTTTTCGCATCACCTTTTTTTAAAATCTCCAAAAAGCTGTGTGAGGGAAATCGTTTGATTTCCATCCATGACATGAGTTCATGAATCCCACCCCCGATCAAGTGACGAACCGATGAGAGATTTCGCATGGAGGAGGGGCTCGGAGATGAGTCGGGGCCTGGCGCATCCGGTGTTTTTTTTTTTTTTCTATTTCTCTTGTCTGTATTGGATTCTTTTTTTTACTTGTCCGTGCAAATATTTGCACTGGGTAATATGAGGAAGAGAGATAGATGTGATGTTTATACCATTAGCATAACTTCAGTCGTGTCTCCATAAGGCCGGCTTTGCTGCCAATATCAAAAATCATACAGAGCCAGTTCTAGAGAAGCAATGGGGATACAGCACGACATAGTGTCATTTGCGAAGGATAGTTATCAACCCAAATGACAACAACATTCAGATATGACCTTATTCCCAGCTGAATCAGAATACAGCTGAATTAACAGGAGGGACCCGCCCAGTCAAAGAATCCTCAAGCGCTCAATCAATCCTTCGCGGATATATAGACTTTAAGAGAAAAGATGATAGTACTAGGTTTATTTATCATGTCCTCTACCTTAAATATACATACAACCTAGATTGCTAGAAAACCAAGGAAGTTCCGTAACTGGTTCTAACACACTTCTTATGTATATAAACTAACCGGTTGAGGTACCCGTGCCCTAACTATGTCTAAGTTGCTACTGACAAATGGGCGAAGCCCATCTGTATCGATATAATCTCCAGAACTTCTTTTACAGAACTTCTCCCGAGGCCACTTAAAGAGAGCAAAACTCACATAGAGAATCATCGTCGCATAAATGGCACCAACGCAGCACTCCTACTCCGTGGGCAGACTCAAACATTCGATATACGAGAGCCATTCTCTGCATCAAAAGTGACAAAAAAGTAACAAGGCGATCTCTCGGCAATACATCCAAAATACTCCGTTTTCCTGGTCACATTGCTATGTACAACCTAGGGTAGGCAAAGCCCTCACATCTAATGCAAAACATCCACATCCACATCTATCTCAACTCCTCCCACTGCACACCAGCCCATTCCTCCCGCCACCCAGTAACGCCCAACTCCTGCGGCGTACAGTTCTGACCACAAACTCCCATGATGATAGTGCCCCACTCCATGCCCGCATCATCCTTCCCAAGCCCAACACCAGGACGCCCCTCCTCAAGCATAGTAATAGCATGCGGCACAAGCTGGAACTCGAACACACGCTGGCTTCCACAGTACTCACAGGCCGGGATCCTCCCCGAACCGAGTGTGGTGATCTTGGCACCAGGAGCACTGTGAACATGCAGCCGGGTACCGACCTCGTCACCAGTTGAGTACAGCAGTGGCGTACCGCGGAACTCATACCGCAGAACTTGCTCCGGGTTGTGCTCGATGCGCATCGAGAACTTCATAAAGTCCTTGTCGAGTTCGGACTCGAAAGTGTCCTTGAGCTCCGCGCCACCAGCGCCTTCTTCCTCCATTGGTTCAATTTGCACATTATCTGGCACTGTGGGTGAAGATGGCCGGGAGAGAGTTTCGTATTCTGCGTCTAGGTAGAAATTTTTGTACGGCGGAGGGAACGCGGACTGCGCGGGCCACGGGACCGCTGTGCTTGATTCCGGTGTTTTCTTTGTCGCGGCTGAGGGCGGTGGCGAGGAGATGCGCACTTTATCGGCGAAAGATGAGGCCAGGTTGGTTGCAGACACGGCGGGCTTCTCGGCTGTAGGTGCTGTCGCCTGAACTGGTGTCGCGAAGGGGTTGCTTCCCGCGGGTGTTGGGCCCGAAGCGGATGAGAAAGGATTCGGGTTCGAAGATACGTTGCTCGTCAAGTTTGTTGCGCCGAACAGGCTCGCTCCTAGGTCCTGCTTGGGTTGTTCTGGTGCGACGGGCTGGGTTTCCTCTGTTTTCGTTTCAACCTGTCTGTTTTGTCCACCGACGGCGACTTTACGCGCTGCGCGGAATGCTCTGATACTGCCTGGCTTGCGGTTGCAGGGCTTTCTGGGGCAGCCGAATAGGTATAGGCGTCGTTCATCAGTCGGGAAGTGATCGGGCAGGTCGCCGTGCAATTCGAGGAGGAGCAGCATTGGGCTGTTGCAGACTTTGCAATTGGCGAAATCGCCAGGTGCTGGGGATGCTTCATCGAGCCATTTCTGAACCAAAGTAGCGGTTAGTTGAAATTGGTTATACAAAGTGATCACTCGTGGTAACTTACCGGCCAGCCTCCAAGATGGCTGATTACATCCTCGATGACATCCTCAGCAGCATAGCCTAGAAGCACACCGGTATCGGTGAAGTCCTCATCGACACTGGAGTCACTGTCATAGGAATCCATTTTGAATTGTTCGGAGTTAAGTGAATCAAAACTGTGATGCCCCTCAAAAAGATAAGCGATATGGAAACGCACTAGTCCTAGAAGAGACTAGCGTGACATGGGCCGACTACCAAATTAGACTCATGGATGGCATCACCTCCGCCCTTGATCCTTCATCTGATGATATCTTGAAATACATTGATCTCTGGCTAATCAGTATCTACTGTTCAACTACCAATTAGCTCTGCCATTTTCTAGTGCTACCATAATAATGTGGCCGTCTATGCCATGGCATATCCCTCTCTTACTGTACTCCATCCTAGCTGCCCTACTCGTCTCGTTTGGCAATGCAGCAGAACAAGAGCAACTGCGAGAAGCCGCCAGTGCAACCCCAAAGCGTGTGGCAATAATCGGTATGCCTCTCTCTAAAGAACACAGTTCCATACGGGGCTGATACTCCCATAGGCGCCGGAGCCGGAGGCTCGTTTGCTGCATATCAACTGCGCAAGCTGGCAGATGAAGCCAACATTCCTGTGGAAATCACAGTCTATGAGCGTGAATCATATGTTGGCGGCCGCTCAACAACAGTCAATGTATTCGACGACCCATCGTACCCCATTGAACTGGGTGCTTCCATTTTTGTCCAGATCAATTACAACCTGGTCAACGCTTCCCGTGATCTCGGCCTGACGGTCAATAGTGCTGACCATGCACGGCCTAGGGAGACTGCTGAGAGTATCGGGATCTGGGATGGGACCCAGTTCGTTTTCACGTTGACGAATTCGTATAGCTGGTGGAATATCGGCCGGCTCTTCTGGCGTTATGGACTGGCGCCTCTGCGTACTCAGAATCTGGTAAAGAGTGTCGTTGGCAGGTTTCTCCGCCTTTATGAAGAGCCTTTATTCCCTTTCAGCTCTCTTACTGAGGCAGCTATTGCGGCTGACTTGATCAATGCTACTGCATCTCCTGGCGATGTGTTTCTCCGGGCAAATGAAATCAGCTCGCTGTTTGCGAATGAGATCATCCAAGCAAGTACTCGAGTGAATTATGGACAGAACCTGCAGCTGATTCATGGCTTGGAATCTGTCGTCTGTATGGCTACGGATGGAGCGGTTTCTATCGAGGGTGGAAATTGGCGCATTTTCGATGGCGCGCTGAGGGCCTCGGAGGTGAATATCAAAGTGAATACCACCGCCACTGAGATTTCACGCAACGATGATGGGACTGTACGGGTCTCCTCAAAGGTCAACACCGCTACCAGCTCCGAGCATGAGCTATTCGACGAAGTTGTCATTGCCGGTCCTTTGCAGTACTCGGGTATCTCCGTCTCCCCTCCCTTGGAAAACACTCCAGATGAGATTCCATATGTCAACTTGCACGTTACTCTCTTTGCATCCCCTCACCGCATCTCGCCGAAGTATTTTGGTCTGAACGATTCAAATGCTCGAGCGCCCGAGACTATTCTGACCACTCTACCCAAGGGCGTTGATCTGGGTTCGAACCCAGATGGTGTTGGCCTCACTGAATTTTGGAGTATTAGTACACTTCGAAGAGTAGATCATTCTGTTGCGGGTTCCAAAGACAAACAGCAACATTATGTTTACAAAATCTTCTCGCCAGAGCGGCCCACGGCTGAATTCATTGCCCAGATTCTGGGGCTGGAGAGTGAGATTGCGGGGAGCAATACGACCATTGGAGACCTATCGATAGGCGATATCAGCTGGTTCCATGAGAAGCTATGGAACCCATACCCTCTTCTGTATCCGCGAGTGACCTTTGAGGAGACTCTTCTAGCTCCAGGTGTGTGGTACACAGGTGGCATCGAGAGCTTCATCTCGACAATGGAGACTAGTGCGTTGATGGGCCGGAACGTGGCAACTCTCATGTTCCAGTCGTGGCAGAAGCAAGGAGATCAGACAGACAGTGATGCCTCGTCCTGGGACAGGGAGCTGTAAGCCTGCTTATATCTTGTCTTGGCTTGCCAGCCTCCTTTTGTCAAACTAAGCGTTATGCATGGAAAGTCTTTTTCTTGTTATGAGCCTTGCATTTGTTATTTACAACCTGATCTTATATGAACCGCTCGATATAGAATGAAATAACGGTACCGCTTAACTTGTCATGTCAAATGTCCTTTTCGGATGAGGGGATCTTGCTGGTACAAAGACGTGCACAGTCTGATGGATTAGCACGGGATGAAGCACAGTCTGCTAACCAATATTATGCCTCTATCGCCAACTATAAACGTAGTTGGATCGATCACATGATAGCGGGGCGGACTCTACGGAGTTCTATTCGACAGTTATCCCCACAGGCATTTTGATGTCGAGCTTCCAATTAAGACCTCAAAGCCGTCGCAGCAGATACAGATACATTTCGAAAGTCCCCGTTCTATTGCCGTTCTTTTGACACTTAATTAAATTCCTCCGCAACAAGGAAGCCTCGAGGCACAATGTCTAGGCTATCCTCTTTCTCATTACAACCAGTCACCGCCGAGGATATTCCGACCCTCGTTCGTATCCATGATGAGGCATTTGAAAATGACAAGCTTATGCATTTGATGTACGGCTCGCCAGATCAGAGAGAAGACATGATAGGATTCCTTCGGGGGCTACTCACGACTAGTTCAACTGCACTGTTTTTAAAGGCGACGGACAGAAAGACTGGTGAAATCATGGGGTGGTCATTGTGGACTGTCTACCTTGACCAAAAAACCCATGAAAGAGAAGCGGCAGCCACCGAAGAGAGACAGAAAACAGCCCCCGACACTGCGGGTAATCCGGCAGCCTTCCTAGACTTCTATAGAGCTGTAGCAGCAAGGCGAAGAAAATGGATTACTGGAAAATGCGCTAGCCGTGAGTTGAACAGATTTTTACGATAGAAGCCTTTACTCAGATGTCCTATAGTCCTCGAGGTTCTCGCGGTCCGTCCTCAAGCCCAGGATAAAGGCGTCGGCATTGCACTTGTTAAAGCAGGGCTAGAGGAAGCCAGTTTCCATAAGATACCAGCATGGCTGGAAGCATCATCTGCAGGTCACGCGATGTATCGGAAGTGCGGGTTTCATGATATAGGGGATCCTATTGACATGGATTTGAGCGACTATGGGGCGGAGGGAAGTGTGAAGACAGTGTGTATGCAGTTTGGTTTACAAAATTAGCATGGAACTACGTTGGCTCGAGAATAAATACCGCTGTGATATGGGACCTCAAAGTCATCCTCAATTTACAACCAAAGTCGATATTAGCTTATTTATACATCTTGTCGATTGGGAGGAGGATACTTTACCACCAGCAGCCGGATGATTCAGCACATACACAATCTCTTAGTTAACTGCCTTTTTTATAAAGTCATTAGACACATCAATCTCGCTTCCACGATGTAGTATAGAAGATTAAGTGAGAAATCACTTATCATTTGGTCTTTTTCGCCGTATTCTATCGATCAAAGGTCACCCCGCTGTCTTATTCAACCCCACCATCTCGGGCTTCGTCTTCCAAATCATCCTTATTCCTCCTTGAATCTGTGAAACTATGCTTCTACGTTTCCTAGGAATTCGGCCTGACTAAACGATTCTCTAGTTCAACCGCAGCCTGGTTGCAACTAGCATCTTGTTCGGACGAACCCATTGTTCGATCTAAGCGACGCCTCTAACTAGGTAAGCAGTCCATTATTTCCTATGATGGGCCTCCTCATAATTGGGTAAGCTAAGAATCATGATGCCATCTAAGGATGGAAGTCTCTGGGTTTACTGCCTACGCTCCAGGAGTTGATACCCCAATGGATCAGCTTGCCTATTTCTTTCCCGGCGCGCACTGGCTGCAAAAAGGCCAGAACATATTCTATTACGATGATGATGGCTTGGGAAAAATTTGGATTAAAGTAGCTGCATACCTCCCTCCACAGTTCAAGGGCTGCGGGCTACAGGCATAGAAAATCACGGACAAAGCAAAGATGGTAGAACAAAAGGGTTTCATGAAGATCTTATCAGGGAAAGGTACTATTATCGGGGGAAAGGCCTTAACGCCAGACTTGAGCCTAGTATCTTTTGAAAAGGAAATTATCACTGATGGCTTCCTCCTTTGCATTCTAGCCATTCCTCAAACCCTAAGCCTAGCATGATTCTGTCTATACCAACCAAATGACGTGGACATCAATATCTCAATCCCTTAAGCGTGGACAGGATCTCTGTGCTTGAGTAGAATAATTGGAAAACTCTGTGTCTGTTCGAACATTGGCATTACCATAGCTCTAGTCCGTTGTAGAATGGTGGCTGCATAAGGGGTGAACTAGGACAAGTCTAAAGATCTCATAGTATCTACAGTGCCGGGGAGAAAGTCGGAATATAGTATATCTGTATCGACATCTATCGATCTCGGCAAGTAAAACTACGGTATTATGGAAAGTATTACTGTGTTAAGCGAGGAAGGAAGACTGAATTGTGGAATCGCATGAGGATGTATGGTTGCCATTGGCTCAGGATGGACTACATCCTTCCAGATATCAATCTATAGGTCTAAATGAAAAGATTTGACTAGCTAGAATTGTATGTCAAGACAAGTGCGTTGCATGGAAAGTAATAAAAATTCAGGCCATAGTAATTCTACCAGTTGACACCTAGTCCTCCTATCTTCGCTCAATTTGCGGTATTTTCAATGCTTCAAGTTAGTCTCTTCATTCGTATCTGTTGCTACATACAGATCACGGATTCAATCAGTAGCCAAACCCGAGAGAAATCACAGGTCATAGAATCAAACAATGAGTAACTTTGGAGTGGAAATGCCTTGTGAAACCTCCAGGCCTATACATAGAAATCAGTAACTTTATGTGCAAACTGCTGTCACATTTAAATTCTATGTATATATTTGATAGAAGGGAGCTAGTAGTCCGCCTCGCTCTCGCTGCCGGGATATGCCTTCTTCCTCAATTTCCATAGTGACTTTTCTCGTCGCGCAGCAACTTCACGCTGGTGACGACTATTATCTTCCACGACAGTCATCCAAGGCACATTGCTCGCTCGGCGAACCCTCTCTCGCAGCAGTGCAAGCGTTCGACTATGCTCGGCCGGATCCAGCTCGTATGCCTGTTCACTGCCAATGTCTCCAGCTTTCCTCGGCCCAGAGGTCGATTGCTGGTAGCGCCGCTCTGCCGCACGAGCGGCGTAGTACTCTTCACTAATAGCCCAATTCGGGTTATCAAGCTGGCCACGGACTAGCACAATGCCATGACCTTGCTCGATGGCCTTTTCTAGGTGAGATGAGGGAATAGGAGTGGAGATCTCAAGCTTGCGCGAAGAGGTATCGATCGAACGGACCAAAGCAAGACCAAGACAGTTTGACGCTTTGGGATCCAATGGGGTGCAACTACCGGAACCAACAAAGAGATAAGGAAGATCTTCGGATGTTCGCACAATGCAGTCAGGGATGGAAAGCTCAGCCGAATTACCCGCGCCTGAGTTTGCTGAACCCATGTCAATATCGTCATGGCCTTCGTCATTTGATGCTGACATCTCACTCATGATGGCGTTCGGCGATTCCACTGCAACGACGCCTACGATAGCACCCTCAAGGGTCTCGTGCAGTAGATCGGGATTGATCTGTGATCCCATTACCATAACGCCCAAAATACCTTGTCGTGCACCGGCATAGTCCACAGTAATAGGCCTCGTGCGAGATAGCGGTACATCTGACCAAAGGGAAGTGATGAGATCATTTGGATGAGACATATGGAAGTATGACTGGATTTGCATCGCTCGTAATTGAGCGCTTGATCGGCTCACAAAATCAGTGGGCTGAGATGGGAGAATGGTCAAGGGGACTCGGGCCTCACGGGCAGCTAGACCTAACGGATCCACGACTTCTGATGGGCCTTTTTCACTCATATATACCACATCAGAGAGACCGAGAGATCTGACCAGCCAAGTCGCAACCTCTAATCCTTGCCCAAAGATCCAACCAGGGTAGTTGATAATCAGAGGGCATTGGGGATGTTTCTCCAGCAACGAGCGGTATTGATCCATAAGATCCATGACGGCCAGTGCATAGTGATCGGGGTCTTCTTTTGGCGACGCTGCGCCGATATGATGCGCCCGCACTATTTCACCGTCACGGGAATCGTCCAATGATGGGTGGGTGAAAGGCGGACCGAAGAAGGGAGAGCGCAACCGCGCGAGATACACTTGACCCATAGGGGCAAACTCAGGCTGACCTGGGTCTAGATCCAGGAAAGCAACTCCATCGGTATTAGTATATCCATTCTCGGTCTCGGGTGTCGGACTTAAAACGTGATTCAACAAGTAGCGACTAAAGGTGGACTTTCCGGATGCTTTGGGGCCACAAATTAGAACACGAAGTTGGCCTTCACGTTGTGAGAGACCTTTCATCGACGCGCTCCATTTCTTGTCGAGGTGAAGGGGTCGGATATGTCTATTTAAAGAATCATCTGCCGAAGTATACAACTGTCAAGTCAATTAGCTTTGAACACAGCTCGAGCTGGAGTAGAGTATGATTGCATACCACTGAAAAAGTCCGCTTTGAGTCTTTGGCGGCTCCTTTCAGGGTGATTTTATCTGCAGCGGTGTTCTCACCAGCCCATATCCTTTGATACAGAGGCGAGAGGTCACGGAGGCGGGAGATACCGCTAGTACAAGACTTGATCTCTACTTCTGCGTCGCCATCAATTCCAGCAACACATTTGATAACTGGCAAAGAGTGGGTCGAGGGAGCATAAACTCTATGCAACTGCGAGGACGGATGTAACTTCGCGCCCATCAGACTGACAACACCTCTTTTGACCCAGAGATCATAATGGCCCACCAACGCCAGGTTCTAAGGGAAAGATCAGTATTCACTCCAAATGGCCGGAAAGTTCATCCATACCGTGCGTTCCTTAATGCGAATGCAAAGTGTGCTCTCATCGCTGTAGACTATGTTGCTTTCGTTCAACCGAGCCTTGGATAGAGGGAAATTCTGAAGCTCTGCGGGTGTTTCTGCGGGTGATTCATAGCCATCGGCATCACCCATAACAGATGCAATATCATCCTCATCCATCTTTTCTGTATGCTCGACTTGGTCCTTTTCAGACTGCTCGTCTGAGAGGTGCTCATGAGTATCCTCCAACTCGGGCTTCACTTCCAATTCTTGAGGCCGGGTAGCTCTTAGTGGCCGCTCCGGTATTGTCTCTGTGCGCAATAGTTTATCTTGTTTCTTTGCTGCCTTTGTCCGTGTACGATGCTCTTCTTTTGTCCCAGTCGCCTCAGGTCCATCGAGAGACTGTCGCGACTTTTTCGAGGGTGGTTCGCTCGCAACAATAGCCTGCGGTGCATCCGCTGGTACATTCGCGCTCTGTGCTTCTTGTTGTTGTCGAGCTCTGCGCGCTGCCAAAGCAGCGACAGCGCTAACAGGGCCTAGAGAAACGACATGTGAGCTTCAAATTAGTGTTGTAGGGCATGGATAGACGGCTTACCAGCTGGTTGCTGTTTTTCGGCCTTTCGCTTAACCATGATATTATACAGTCCGGGCAGACAAGCTTCGAGCTTGTGTTCGAAAAGAAATCGACCTCGATAATGCGATCCAAAGCCGATAAGCAAAAAAAGTTGGCTGGTGGTCCGTGCTCCCGCGGAGCAGAAAAAAAAAGATCGTTGGACCTGAGCATCCTCACTCAACGTCGATCCAATTCATTTTGCGAAATCGGCTTTGCTGAAACTTCGCGTATATACCCTGTAAATTACTTCATCGTTTCATTTCATTCGTCTTGTGGATTTCGGGTGTACCAAACGCCGCACATTCTTGCGAAAGCATTTGAGTGTCGACCTCGAGTTTGCCCTACACAATTGAACAATCGCCATGGCATCATCCGACAGCGATAGCAGCTCGAGCAGATCGGCCTCGCTTGACCTCATGACTGAAAAAGAGAAAGAAATGACGAAGAATACAAAGGTACAGGAATCAAGCGAAGATGATACCTCGGACTCAGGTTCGGATTCGGATAGCGACTCCGACGACTCCAACGAGATGAAGCCCGACTCCAGCTCAGGCAAGAAGTGAGAGATTATCCTCTATCGGCTCTTATGGTAACTAATACTTGTGCCCATAGGGTTGTAATCTCCGGTCCTCAGCTATACAAACCACCAGCGGGTTTCAAGTCTGCAAAGAAGCAGGCCCCGCCATCCTCCAAAGTCTCCTCCCTTCTCTCCAACCTCGACGGCAAGCAAGTCCTTCACCTCACAGCACCGGCCTCTCTACCTTTGTCCAAAATCAAAGAGGTGTGCATGGCCAAGATCATGCAGGGTGAACCGATCATCTCCCACGACGGTGTGAACTACGGCATCCCAGCCGAGGCTCTTTCCGAGGCCGATCCCGCAACCAAATCACTACTTCTTTTCGACGAGAAGACACAAACATATTCCACAGCAGCCCAAAGCATCCCAAGTTACCACGTCCAAGAAATGATCGGTCTCCCAAGCACATCAAAAAAGACCGATGCTGTAGTGGCAGAGTTGCGCGAATATGTCAAGCCAGCCCGGCCGCAGCCGAAGCACATGAAAATGCGCTTCCGGCCTGTCGGTACAACGAGTGCGCTTCCAGAGACGCTTGGATCTAGCTCGGAATCGGAGGGTGAGGCGCCTTCGTTCAAGGTTCCCAAGGGAGAGGAACGGAAGAGGAAGCTTGATCACGATGACGTTGAGGATGAAGCTCCCCAAGCTGCAGCGCTTCCTCGGAAGAAGTCAAAGAAGCACTCACAAGAAAAGGATGAGGATGATAATCTGAGCCGGAAGAAGTCGAAGAAGTCCCACAAGGACAAGGAAGAAAAGAAGCGGAAGAAGTCCGAAAAGGCATGATTTGGCGTTAGTGTGTTTTGAGAATAGCTTTGGTTTAACGACGTCCCCAATACTATGTACAATTTACAATCTTATTTTCTCTGTGTTCCATTGTCTTTTGTTGATTTGATAGTGTCGAAGCAATGAGTGTAGTCCGATGAGCTCTTTTTTAAACGCCTCTCTAAGTTAAGATTTCCTTCCACGCAAAGTAATAGGCTTCAACTTCAATTTAACTTCAATTTGGTATTCAATATATCTGAAGAGGCATAAAGGCCTACAACATATAAATGCTGTTTGCCTCAGGCACTCAGCTGACATAAGGGGCGATGGAGTCATAGATCACATGCATGCGGAGAGAGCCCAGGTGATGTTTCTCCCTTTGTGCATTCTGAGATTTCTGTGAACTCTTGGGATAGATTTGGACTTCCTTTCCATTCTTTTTTCATTTCCATCATCTTTTTAATATATATCATGGCGCTTGGCTGATTTGGAGTGTGGATTGACAGCTTCATCCAGATATAGTGTCCAAGCTTCAAAGCGCTTATCGGCCTAGACCCTGCCATCCCGTGCGTTGTTCACCATTAACCCTGCTCATCACGATTTTGGCGCCTGACCGCGGTTTTGATATGACAAAGTCACATGTTGTCCAGACTGATGTGTCTTGCCGTTTGACTAGTGTATACCTGATCGTCATAGTCCTATCAGCGCCGAGCTGTCACCTGGCTCGAGCTTCTGACTGCCCGACCGATCTCAGTGATTCACCGCGCCCTAGCATCGTTTACTCCCATCCTTGACCCACATTTTGCATCGATTGTATCGTATCGGTGTACCAGAGATAAGGATGAAACCGTTTAGAGACGATGCCAAACGCCGGGCAGACCGGCAGTTGAGCGCAAGTATGAAACCTACTTCGTCCAACCGTCCATTTTCAGATCGAGTGCCAGACAAATTTAAGGATGGGGATGATGCTCAGTTTGATTTCACAGCTCCGCCGCAAGGTATGGGTTCACGGGACGGCAATTTGCATTATATGCAACAGTCCCTCTTCTCCATGATTGCTGCTGTCGGGTCCAAGTCGGACTTCCATGCCCGGTTTGAGGAATCAAGTGATAGTGATGGAGATATGGAAGAACACCCGTGGATGGAGCAAACTAGTGGAAACCCTTCATCGCGGACGCCTGTGCCATCCTTGGACTCCCGCCAGCCAAGCAAGAGACCAGAATCAAACACACTGGTTCTGGAAGAAAGAGGACGTCGCCATCAAAGAACAAGGTCAGACAATAAGCTTTTGCAGAGATTACCCAAGTTAGATTCAGAAGACGAGGCAAGCGAGTCATCAAACCCAATCGACCCGATGCTCAAGGTGCCTCCTTTAAGGCGAACTCGCAGTGCGACGCCGCGAGCAGCCCCGGTTCTAAGTCGCATGGTTGAAGCGCAATCTCACTTTGACTTAACATCGGCAACACCACACTCGCCACCCGATCTAAACAAACCCATGGAAGACCAACCGGAATCGTCCGCGTCCGCTCTTTCTACGCGATTGATGAAGATGTTTGAGTTTGCGAAGCCCGAAAAGGTTCTGGTGGAGTATGCATGCTCGTTGCTCCAGAGCATGCTTCTTCAAGGCTACATGTATGTGACAGAAGGTCACATCTGCTTTTACGCCTACCTCCCAAAGAAGTCCAACGTGGCGATAAAGTCGGGATACCTATCCAAACGCGGCCGCAAGAACCCTACGTATCATCGCTATTGGTTTGCGCTGAAGGGTGATGTCCTCTCATACTACGCAGATCCCTCCAATCTCTATTTCCCTAGCGGACATGTCGATCTTCGATATGGGATCTCTGCGTCTCTCGCAGATCGCAAAGACGGTGATGTGAAGGACTTTCAGGTCACCACTGATCAGCGGACATATTTATTCAGAGCAGACAGTGCTACCAGTGCAAAGGAATGGGTGAAAGCCCTCCAGAAAGTCATCTTCCGGACGCATAATGAAGGCGACAGTGTCAAAGTATCATTCCCAATAGCGAATATTATTGACCTGGAGGAGAGCCCAATGGCCGATTTCGCAGAGACATTCAAGATTCGAGTTCTCGACAGCGGCGAAACATACGCAATTGACGAGGTAGGTCGTTGGATGAAACGTTACTAAGTTCATTGCTGATCAGTTCACAGTACTTTTTCTCATTCTTTGATTCGGACCAAGACGCATTTAACTACATCAAGCGCCTGGTCAATGCTGCGTCGGCTACCTCTGCAATGAAAGAGCCGCAGAGCCAACACGATATCAAAAATCAAAAGAGACAGTCAGTCAGTAGCGTTCGTTTGTCTGATCAGAGGCAGGAAGTTTCACCGCGCAAGCGAAGCTCCAGCGTAGGACACGAAAATCAAGGCTCGACAGATTCATTTGCAGAGCAAGGGACCGAATCATCGCCGATTGTACAATCCATGACAGATACCACTGAATCTGCCAGTCAGATACTACACAGAAGCGACGTCTTCCAATCACCCACTATGCGCACACTGCAAGGACGCTCATTGGGTGTCGGAGAAAATATTCAACGGAATTCTGATGATACGACCCCCTCCGCGTCTACACGGCTGGACCTAGGTGCAGCGACAGGCTCTCCATCTAGAACACTAGGTCGCAATGAAACCACCGAAGACACGCGATATATCGCTGGCGAATCTAATACAATGCAATCTTCAGGGCCGAGCTCCGTTACTCATTTAAACGATCTTGTCAAAGTGGGCGCATACCCCCTTCAACGCGCCGCTGGTTTTGCAGAATACTTGAAGAGCCGCTCGAAACAAATGAGTACACTCTTAGCAACAGAGTCAATGGGCTATATAGAAAAGGTCTCTGGCATGTGGATTGGTGGCCAGAAGCATTATGGAGAACGGGAAGGGCCGTTGCTTGAAGATCAGAACGTTGATCCCGAGGACAACGAAGGTTCATTCAATTATGGAGATCGCTTTCGCGCACACTTCGCTCTTCCATCTACCGAAAAACTGCAGGCGACCTATTACGCCTATTTGCATCGTGTGCTCCCGCTATACGGCAAGATCTATATAAGTCAGAAGAAACTTTGCTTCCGGAGCCTGATTCCTGGCACTCGGACCAAGATGATTCTACCCTTCAAAGACATTGAGAACGTTGAAAAAGAGAAGGGCTTCCGTTTTGGGTACCATGGACTTGTTGTCATCATCCGTGGCCATGAAGAGCTTTTCTTTGAGTTCAATGCCTCCGATTCACGAGACGACTGTGCAGTCACACTGCATCAGAATCTAGAGTCCGTGAAATTCCTGGTGGAATCTGGCTTGCTAGCAGAAGAAGAACGAGACGAAGTTGAAGCAGCTAAGGCTGAGCACCGCATGCTTCAGGAAGCAAGGCTGGACAGCCCCGAGGAAGATGATGCACGTCCGACTTTCACCGAGGATTCATCGGAAATACATCCGTTCTTCGACGATCCTCGCGCTTCCATTATCAACTTCAAACCTTCCGAGCCTCTAAGGATTACTTGCCTAACCATCGGCTCCCGGGGCGATGTGCAACCGTACATTGCGCTCTGCAAAGGACTGCTTGCGGAGGGCCATAAACCGAAAATTGCAACCCACGCCGAGTTCGAGCCCTGGATCAGAAAACACGGGATTGACTTTGCTCCCGTTGACGGTGATCCTGCAGAGCTAATGCGAATTTGCGTGGAGAACGGGATGTTTACATATTCCTTCCTTAGGGAAGCTTCAATGAAGTTCAGAGGATGGATCGATGACCTCTTGTCGTCGGCTTGGATTGGTTGTCAGGGCAGTGACCTTCTAATCGAGTCACCGAGCGCCATGGCCGGAATTCACATTGCAGAGGCTTTAAGGATTCCGTACTTCCGCGGATTCACCATGCCATGGACAAGAACACGGGCCTACCCTCATGCTTTCGCAGTGCCAGAGAATCGCATGGGTGGAGCATACAACTACATCACATACGTCATGTTCGACAACATCTTCTGGAAGGCCATCGCGGGGCAAGTGAACCGCTGGCGAAACAACGAGTTGGGATTGAAGGCCACAACCCTAGACAAGATGCAGCAGAACAAAGTTCCGTTCCTCTATAACTACTCGCCCTCCGTGGTGGTCCCTCCTCTTGATTACCCAGATTGGATTCGCATTACCGGCTACTGGTTTTTGAATGAGGGCACAGATTGGACTCCTCCTACTGAACTATCGAATTTCATTGCACAGGCCAGAGCGGATGGCAAGAAGCTCGTGTACATCGGGTTTGGATCCATTGTGGTCTCGGATCCTTCTGCTCTGACACGGACCGTCATCGAATCAGTCCAGAAAGCAGATGTCCGATGCATCCTCTCGAAGGGATGGTCCGATAGGCTTGGCGACCCAGCTAGCACGAAGACCGAGATACCTCTGCCACCAGAAATCCACCAGATCCAATCTGCACCTCACGACTGGCTTTTCTCTCAAATCGATGCTGCAGCCCACCATGGTGGAGCAGGAACCACTGGGGCAAGTCTTCGAGCTGGCGTCCCCACCATCATCAAGCCATTCTTCGGAGACCAGTTCTTCTTCGGCTCCCGGGTGGAGGATCTAGGTGTTGGCATCTGCTTGAAGAAACTGAACGTCAGTGTCTTCTCGCGGGCTCTGTGGGAGGCGACGCACAGTGAACGTATGATTATGAGGGCAACAAATCTGGGTGTTCAGATTCGGAATGTGAGTTGTTCTAAGTCTACCCAAGCTTAATTGATGGAGTGCTAATTTGATATTCCCTTGTTTAGGAAGACGGCGTGGCTACTGCAATTCAGGCCCTTTATCGTGATCTTGAATACGCGAAGACCTTGGCCCGACAAAAGTCGCTTGCTTCGTCCACCCCATTCTCTCCTACACCTACAGCTAAGACCTCCCCGGATGGAGCCGATGATGACCTTGATGACATTGAGGAGTGGACCTTTGTCGGTGATGAAACTGGCTTTGACATCTCGAAGCGGATGCGTGAGCGAGCTGCTTCTGATGCCGACAGACTAGGTTCCAACATGTTCCAATGATTCTGTTTCCCAAAGTTGAATGATTAGCATTTCGTTTTGTTTGGGACACAGCAGCGCACCGTCGAGATTCTCTACCATCTTCGGATCCCCTGTCGCCAACAATAATATGCCGTACAGGCGCGTGGACTGGAAGGTTCATAGTGAAGGTGGCGTCCTCAAACTCAACGAAGTTATGGAGGACACTTCGATGGTCTGTTTTTTCTTTCTTTTTTTTTGTGGCGATTTTCTATTACCTCTCAAGGTTTTCACGAATCATGACATGCGTCTCTTTTTTCGGTTTATATGCATAGGGCATTTAGTTTGGAGCGTATACTTAATATTCACTACTTCTTTTCAATATTTCTCCATGCTGCATTATGATTCTCTTGATTCTTTTCCTTGACATTCAACCTGGAAGATAATAGACCCTTCATAATCGATGACATTGGCAACATTTTTATAATATCCCATAAATCCCTTCAAGACATATTCAGCCACCAGGGCGCTTCTTATTTTTTCGTTTCCTCTTCACCACCCTTGCCATCAGCCCTCTGCTTACGCCTTTCTACAACATCCCAGTTGTACACACGCGCCGTGGCAACCTCCAATGTCTGCAAAAAGTCAAATGTTAGCAAAAGCGCCAATATACCAACCTCCCACACCTATGCCCGCAAACCGAATAAACTAACCGTAATCTGCTCGCGCAAGAATTCCAGATCCTCCTCGCAATTCTGCAAGCTCAACTCCGCAGAACCAAGCTTGTCATCCAGCATGGTCTCCGCCTCGTCGAGAGGGTAGGCCAACATGACATTCGCACCAAGCCAGAGGTAGACCTCCTCGGCATCAGCAGGTGAGATCGCAGCCCGGGCGTAGAGGGTATCATTGAGTTCGAAGCTAGTTTCGAGGTCGGAGCCTGGGTTGGACTAGAAAAGTGAGTGTTAGTGAACTTGATATTCCCGAATTCCAATTTCCGATTCAATTTCCCAAAGCTGGATGTTCCACAAATCGCCTTTTCTCCGAAGTGCGTATGATATATGGGGGATGCGCGCGGGGGATATTTACCTCCTTGCGCAGCTGCAAGAACCGCACCATCTCCAGCGTCTTTTTGATATCGGGGATCTTCTCGCGCAAGCCCTGGCCGCGGCGCTGCGTGTTCACCTCCATGAACTGGTACTTGGAGATCATCTCCTGGAAGGAGCGGAGAGTGGGCTCGACTTCCTCGCGGGAGGAGACGTAGTCGCTGACATTGTCGATGAATGGGGCGACGGGGATCCCGCGCGGGTTGGTTTGTGTTGTTACCGTGCTGTTGGAGGGGTTAGTTTTCTGGATTCTGTGGATGCGGGCATGGGATTGAGGTTGGAGGTTGGCAGATAGAAGGGGATGTAGATATATAGAATAGGAATATAAATTTACCTCTTCTTTGAGTCCGCCATAGTCGCAAAAATGTGTGTGAGAGAGGAGAGAGGAAGATATGACGATGTGGGGAGCTTAACTGCCACTTTTTTGGGGTTCCGCTTTATCTCCCCATGAACTGAACTAAACCTCAATTCTACTGAACTGCCCTAATTCCGTTGGATTGTATCATAATGGTCCTCCTTCTTACGACAGATCGCATCCTCGCCGCGTTCGAAGCTATTCCAGCTTCGCGCCACGAGGAGCTAGACTTGCCTACCACGCTGGAAGCACAAGGCCCAATAGCCCACGAACAACTGATCCGGCTCGCCAGATACCTCCAAAACGACCCAGAATACAAAGAGCAGGCCTCTCACATCCCAACCGTCCTCAGTTCCCTCCTCCGCGGCACGAAAGTCTACGTCCCTCCGCCGCCAAAGAAGCCAGAGCCTGTACGTGGTCTATACACAACCCCATCCAATCCCTTCCTTTCCTCCAATACACAAACCACACCAAACCAGATTCTAACATCCTACATAATACAGAGCGCCGAATACCTCGCATCAAAAGCACGCCTCATCGCAGCAACTGAACAAGAATCCTACAACCGACTCTTAAACCCAAACTACCGACCAAACGCTGACCACGCGGATCCGCACGCATCGCCCTACACGAGCGACGGCCGAGTAGAAGAAGATACGCTGACGGTCTCACTGGTTTCGAGTGTCTTCATCTCGGTGGTGGTGACCGGGTTCGGCGTGTACGCGGCGCTCACGAAGTTCCCGACGCCGGAGATAGTGGCGAGCGAGGCGGTTAAGGTTCTTCTCGGGTTGTTTTCGGCGCTGAGTGTTGCCGTTGCAGAGGCGTTCTTGTACTGGACATATCTTGAAAAGGTGGATCGGGCGAGGGTTAAAGAGAGGGCGGTTAAGGAGAGGAAGGTTGTTATTGGGCCGGTTGGAGAGGAGGATAGTGCGGATGAGGCTGTTGAGGTTGGGACGGAGAAGGAGGAAATTTGGGGGAAGGGGGTTAATGGGGGTGTTAGGAGGAGGGTTAGGGAGAAGTGGGAGAAGGGGAGGGATGGGAAGAAGGATGTTGGGAGTCTTTGATATGTATCTATATAGTATTCAACAATAATGACTGTATTACTGTATTTCTCTGTGCTAGCTTGATTTAAGAGACTTGGAAGGATTCAATTGATTGCTTTTAGTATTCTATCTAAAAGCTAGAATGCGAGGTCATTAATCTAACGGGTATGAATGTTGTGCGATCATTAGTGCTCATCAGAGGGTTCATCAGAGGGTTCGATCTCACAGGTTGAGATCGAGATGTAAAGTGGCAGAGATATAGAAGAGATAGCAAGGCGCAATGCCGAGATAAGCGTGGACAAAGAAAGAAGAAGAGTAAGAAAGCAGGGAATATCTCAAACTCGTTTCTCAAGAAGAAGCTTGCCGTGTGGCGATTGGCTATGGAAGCCCTGGTCGCGGCTGAAGATACGCTCACCACGCAGCCAGGTCTCGCGGACCATGCCGCGCAGAGTACGGCCCTGGTAGGGAGAGCACTTGTTGCGGAAGAGCATGGTGCTCGGCTCGACCGTCCATTCGGCAGAGTCATCAAAAACACAAATATCAGCATCAAAGCCGACAACCAGGTCGCCCTTGTGCGACTGCAAGCCAACCTGGGCAGCAGTGTTGGCACAGCAGAGACGGACGACGTCTTGAAGGGCGTTCTTGGTGTTCTCGTCTTCTGGCGAGGAAGTCAGGCCCTTCCGGCGGCTGAGGTCTGTCCAGAGAATGGGCAGGCCCAGCCCGACGGAAGAAATGCCGCCCCAGGCAGAGAAGAAGTTACCACTCTCCTCTTCCTTGCCGCCGGTACAGTGGCCAGGGACATGGGCTGGAAGCATTTTCAGATCTGGTGTGCAAGGGGAGTGATCGGAGACAACGGTCTTGATGACGCCGTCACCAGTGTGCTTCTCCAGCTCTTCCCACAGACTATCTTGGTTCAGCTTTGACCGGATAGGCGGGCAACACTTGTGGCGGGTGTCGCCGTCGCGTACTTCCTCGGCTGCTAGGGACAGATAGTGGAAGCAGGTCTCGGCTGTGATCTTGACACCATTGGCGCGGGCTTCCCGCAACAAGGGGATAGCTTCCATTGCAGAGAGGTGGACGATGTGCAGAGGGAGATTGGGAGCAAGATGAGCCAAAGACAGAATACTTTCGATAGCACAGGTCTCGAATGAAGAAGGTCTTGAGGCCAGGAAAGTCGCATACGCCTCAAGGGGGCCGGCAGGGTCGGCAGGTGCATCGGATGTCTGAACCTCGTCGCCCACAGATGCGGTAATGGGAGGCACCATCTCGGCATGGAACATGAGAGTTGTTGGCTCATCGGCCAACTCGGCCATGACTTTCTTAATATCCTCTCTCCCGACAGCGGGGAACTCATCAACCTATTGAAGAATGTTAATACTAATTGGAGAACACACGATGCTGATATCATTCACTTACACCACTGTCAATCAGGAAACCCTTGAAGCCGCGGACACCCTCCTGGACAAGAGCCTTGAGCTCGCCCGCATTGCCGGGGATGATACCGCCATAGAAACCGACATCAACCCAGCACTTGCCCTGGGCAGCCTGGATCTTCTCCTTCAAGCCGTTCACGGTGGTGGTGGGAGGGATGGCATTGAGAGGCATATCAATGACAGTAGTCACACCGCCAAAGGCAGCGGCCTGGGTGCCTGTGTAGAAGCCCTCCCATTCCGTGCGGCCAGGCTCGTTCAGGTGAACGTGCGCATCAACCAGGCCGGGTAGCAAAACATGAGGCGAGTAGTCGGTATAGGGAGTATTCACAGGGAACTCCGATGCTGGGATCACGGAATCGAAGACGGCGGTGATCTTACCGGTTGTCAGTGAGATCACAACAGTGGCAGAAGTCAAACGGCCGGAGATAACGGCGCGAGATGAAGCCACCACAGCAATGGAGGGGAGATTAGTTGCCATAACTAGATATGTCGAACTGAAGACTGAAGTATAACCAAAAGATAACCTTCAAATATAAGAAAGCCGTTCAGATAAGCAGAAGATAAGAGGGGCAACAGGCCTAAGATAAGGGGACCGGGGGAGATATAAATACGCCCACTGCCTCCGAAGAAAAAAACAGTCCGGGCCCACCTTGGGGTTAAAGAGGATCTCCCTCCCAGCGAAGAAGGGGATTACCCAGGGAATATCCTGAGAATATCCACAGGCCCACTGCCGAGCCATTATTCCAGACCCCGGTGTTGCCATTATGTACTCGCAAACCAGCCGGTTCGGACAGTCATGCAGCTGCAGAATGGCCTTCACCTTTGCCATACGAGGAAGCACCTGAGAGGCCATGCCCCTGTGCCTTTATATCTCTGGGATATTGGCATGTTGAGACGAGTATAGCATATCGATCGAGGCGAGAAAAGGCCGTCGGCCACCTCCGATGTGGAATCTCCGGGCAATTGCCGCTTATCAATGGCCCGCTTTATCAGATTACTCGATGGAAACTGTCTTCTCGTCTGGGCATCTTCCGGTCCAATTCTTCTTACTCGATCAAAACTGTTCCGGTGGGGGGAAATGCTTGTCTCGGAAAGGGTTGAGAATGTTGCGTCGTGACCGTCGTGACCGTCGTGGCCGTCTTGGCCCTGATTTTGCCGGGTTTTCATTGAACAATTCCACCGTTCTATCCCAACATACTTACATGTACATATGTACTCACGTCGCATACAGTAAAAATGGCCTGGGAAATTGATACGCTAGGTTTTATTGATTCGCTTCCGCAGATGGGTTTCATTTCCCTCCTTTTTTTGTGCTTTTGTGTTTTCTAGTCAATTGACCTCAAGTAGGGAGGAAAGAACATGCATCTGCTCGCGAATAATCTCAGCGCAAAAGCAAAAATAAACCGGTAGGAACACAGGGAAACAAAAAATCCAGAAGAAACCCAGGGCACACTCAGAGAATTTACTCTTGCCCTTCGTCCTCCTCTCGGATGGCCTGCAGATCACTGAGGTCGAACGGGCCAGTCTTACCGACGATTACGTCGTCATAGTAGGTTGGACTTTCCGGAACTGAAAGTGCGTCAGCAAGAAAGTCAGAAAGAACGTCAGGACCGCCAGGGATGGTGGAAGGAACATCACGAACACCAGAAGCATCAGAGGAAGTGCCAGGGGAAGTGCCAGAGGAAGCGTCAGGAAGCATGTCAACAGGCATGTCAAGAGTGCCAGAAACGCCAGAACCGCCAGAACCGCCAGGAGCGTCAGGAGTGTCAGGAGGAGTGTTGGGAGCACCTGAAGGAGTTAGGAGTGCCAGGAATGGCAGGAGGGACGCCGAACACACCATTGTCCTTATCTGCGTAAACGACCGAACGCTGACTGTCGTTATCGCTTTCGTTGTCACTATCGTCACTGAAGTACGACTTGTCATTGAAAAAAGTGGTCATTTCCTCGGTGAAATTGACGCCGGCCAGGAAGTCTTTAATCTGTTTCATAACATCCAGGCTGTGCACTTCAATCTTGCCGCTAGGGAGTTGTGCCTGGTCTCCGTAGGTCATTGCTCCGAGCTCAGCTGCGAAGTTGGGATTATACTGGCCCTTGACCACATCAAATCTCTCTATAGCCGCTGGGGAGTAATGCATAATGTTCATCCAGGTCAAGATGTGTCCCACACCACGAGTAATCATGCCCGACGACTTCGTGCCTTCGCCGGAGGAGTACGTGTTGCAACCATGAGGGAGGGTAAGACCGCGCAGACGTGTACCAATCGGCTGATCACAGATGGTCCAGCCACGGCAACGGTATTTCATGAACCAGCCGAATAAGTCATTCTCCTTTGGGTCGGATGCCTTGTTGGCGTCAGTGCTAACAATCGTCTCGGGGTTGATCAAGGACAGGGAGGAGATGTGGGGCATCCAGAAACTCCCTAGAACCATCTCAGTAAGCGAACTCTAGGTATTTTATTCAGTCAGACACTCACATCGATTCTTCAGGTATGCCATGGCAGCATGGCCGCCCTCAGACAGGCCAATGACGTCGATTCTGGCATCGACTCGGAAGTTACTGCGCATCAAGACTTGCTCAAAGATATTCCGGACATGATCATCAATGGAAATGTTGCCCCTAATGATGTTACGGGCACCCAGTGAACGTTCGCGGTGCACGGCAGAGGCACGATGTTGGCCATGAAGACTGTCTGTGGTCATCGCCGAGCCACCATTTCCATTGTACCAGACGGTTTGGCCCGCGTTAGCAAGAATAAGAGCATTCGGCGAATCTAGAGAATTCTCACCGAGCAGACCCTTTGCAAAGCCCAGGATCGAACCGAAAGAGATACCGTCGTCGCAAGCGTCACGGTACGAGAAGACACCCAGGTCCTCGACAATCTCACCGAAGAAAACAACAATTCGAGGTGCAGCGGTCACATTGCCCGACACCATGATGGGAAGCTGCTGCCTGCTGCCCTCGGGGACCTTCATGAAATGCATGCCCATTCCCAGGAGGCGGTCAATGATGCTGATGTGAATCGCTTCTGTGGAGTTGTTAGCGCCAAATGATTCATCCAAACCACATCCTAGGATGGAAATGAATCTAATGGTAAACTCACTGTGAAGGGCCTCAATGTGGACCTGGTTTATGCGGTCACTTCGGTTGATCTTGTAACGAGGGCCCTGGCCCGGGGCGTCGATGTAACGAATCTTGTCATCTTTGGTGATGACGAATCTGTACCATTCAATAGACTGTTAGACTCCAAGGCTAAGATGTCACCTTGAAAACCACGGAAAAACTTACCCAAGCTCCAGCAGGTCTTCAGGGAAGACGATGTCATCGGGGAGGAGGTCCTCCGGAATGCTGTTCATTGTGGCGAAGCTTCAAATCAATGTGTGAGGTTGATTTGAGAAGAAGGTCAAAGGGACAAAAGGGGAAGATGGGTGATGTTTATGAGTGATGGTTAATTAGAAGAGGAAGAGGAAGAGGAAGAAGAAAACGAAAGGAAGAGGTGGGAGGTTTTATACGAGCAGGACCGGAAGGCACCGCAGCTTTGAAAGTGATTTCAGGACAGGGCACGATATGATTATGGCAAGTATCGAGGAGCTCCCTACTTGCGCAATTACTGGGGATGATGCGGACATGAAGAATCTTCTCGCCGATATTGAGGATGATATACACCACCACTGAGCTGATATGATGAATTATCAGTCAGGTATCAATCAAATGAGCCAGGCTGATCTGCAACTAACCACCATGATAGAAGCAAACAACCCAATTGAGACGGTCTCAACACTGCCAACAAAGAAAGCCTGATCTCACGACATCAGCAAACGAGGATCAGGCAACGCCTAGGCCTGTCAATAAGTCAATGCCTACGCCGAGAGTAGCAGAGTTTGAATCGGAGGATCCAAAAATAACAAAGAAAGATTTGATTTCTCTACTAATGAGAGATGCATACTGTACATGCTTCCACCCCATGGAAGGAAAGAAGAAAACGCCATCGTGCAAACAATTCAACTAGATTTCTCCACATATTACAGAGAACTAGCAATAATCTCATACAATTACCAACTGGCCTTCCTCACGCCGGGGAGTTCACCAGCGAGGGCTTGCATACGGAATTGATACTGTAGAAAAATATAGTGTTAGCAATATGAGGCCATTGGCTGAAGTCTTCCACTTACTCTGTTGATTCTGAAATCGCGGAAGACACTGCGGGCAGTGCCTGATGCCACACAACGGTTCTTGATCTGCGTAGGGCGAGTATAGGGGTGCATCTGCGCCAATTGGAGCTGAGCCTGCGCGCGCACTCGGCCAGAGAGAGAGGTGTTGCGGATCATGTAGCGGAGAGCTTGTCTGCGAAGGAAGACAGAGTCAGCATTTGTTTTTCAATTCCAAGCATTTTCCAGCTCGGGATAGCCATCCTCGGTCAAGCTGGGGCATCTAGGAGATGGACAGTGTTCGTACCGTTCTGGCTCAGTCTGCTCGAAGGCCATGCGCTTGTTGTTGTCCCGAATCAAGCGGGTATTGACAAATCCAGAGAGATCAAGCTTCTTGGGTCGGAAAAGCCCTGCCATTTTAGTCGTTTTGCTCATTTTGGCGTGTTTAATTGGGGTTATTGCGGAGTTGAGGTCGGAAAATGATTGTCCTTCGGCCAGGCGGAGTTGGCGAAAACTGGATGCCCGATCGGGTTTAGCGTATTTGATGCAAGAGAGCGGTATCAAAGCCCTACGTTACTACTAACTAGTACTAGGCATAGTTAGCTGTTACAATTAAAATCAAATGACAAAGCATTGAATAGGGGCTAATTTCGACTTATTGCGCGGTCGCAAAGAAGTGAAAAACTAGCCCTAAGTGAGATAGCGCCGCAATGAGCAGATATGAAGTATACAGTCCAAACCCTATAGCTTTACCTGCAATACAACAGGCTCCGGAATATTCGGCTTAGGTTAATTTCCTTGCTCTGAAATATAGGATATCATCCAGCAGAAGAGACACTACAAAAGGAAAAGGCGCCTTGCTCAGAACGGTACTGGTACAGTTTGTGAATTGATCCAAGTCACCCCAATCGAAGTGGGTACACTCTATATGCTTGAACAGGGGAAAACTGCTCGCAGAGTAATCACAAAAAGTGCAAGCCGGCCATTGATGACCTAGGCCATCTCCGTCCGCCCACACATCGCGACGGTTCGTCCCGCTCCTCTTCAACGAACAAGTGGGATCTCAAAATGCATTCATTGTCGACCCAATTTAGTGGTCAGCCTTGCCAGCGGGCTTAGCGTTGACGTTGCGGGGGTCGTTCTTGTACTGAGCGGCTGTACGGATATGAAGGTTAGTAGCTGATGCTCGCAGATGCTCATCATAGCGTTGTTTTGTGGATATTGTCGCATGTGACCGCAAAATCGTCGTCATCTATGAATAGCCGTGCGGAGTGGACTCACTGTTGGACAGAGCGTTCTGGAGAGAGTTGACACCGTAGAGCACAATGAGGCCTGGAGAGGAGAATCGTCAGAGTAATGTTCCATCAATGACTGCTGAAAGGGTGCAGTGTTCTTAATTGGCAATCCATGCGTTGCGGATTTTCAGGGCATTTCGGGATTTCAAGGGCATGCATACCGGCAGCGAAGAAGGGAGTCATAGGTGTGGCTGTAAAAGAGCATATGCGTCAGTCAATGGTCCTCATATCGTTCTCGGACAAGTCATGATCGTGGTCCAAAAAACACATACCGAGAGCGCCGGGGAACTTCTTTCCGAGGAGAGACATTTTGACAGGTGAATCGAATGCGGGGAGAATTCGGCGTTCGGGAAGATGGTGAGGCAGGAGGACGGAAGAGGAGAAGTGAGGTTTGGGAGGTTTGCCCGGTCCCGAGGCCACGCCGCCTTAAAGGCGGTGTCATGCCGCTTTTACAGCCCGATCTATCCCGACCACTGTAAACAACCATCTCCAAACTGAGCTTCAAATCACACACTATGGCAGCTTCATTGTCTTCCTCGGTTACCTCATTACGATCCTCTCTCCAGATCTTGGACAACTCTATATCCACCCTCGATGCGGGCGTGAACGATTTCCCTCGTTTATGTAAAGTCCTCCAGACAACTCGAGTATGCTCTCCCAAGGTGTCATCCAAGAGGAGAAACAAGAAGCTATAAGTCTAACCATTTGTCTTTGAATAGCACTTTGAACTCCTCCCGGAGCCTACATTACGCGAAGCGCAGCAATCCCTCCTTGACGAAATCACTCCCAGCATCGCCCACCTCCTCACACTATCATCGAACCATGTTGAAAAGCTCGCGCGCCGCGAACAAGGCCTCAAGGCGAAATGCGATCTTCAAGAAGGTCGACTCTCGTCTACCCCGGAGAGCCGGTCATCAGCTACTCGCAGCCAACCTCAAAGCAGCTCACTGCGGGGTCGCATGGTGGGGTCCAGCGCTGGCTCGTCGGGTAATGCAGCAGCATCCAAGGCAGCAGAGCTGAGAAGACTCGTGCAGAAGAAAGAACGGCTCAAATTTGCAGTCGATCGATTGGAGTTGCAAAGCACACAGAAGCAAAGGCAGTTGCGAAAGAGTATGGCAGCGCAGTGAATGTGGCGGTGTCACTTTGCGAGATAGGAATATCTGCTATTACGAAAACCGACTAGCTTGTCAGTAGGATTTGGCTCCAACCTGACTTTCATTTGATTTCTATCCATGTCATTCCTGACTGTGGATGGTGCGCCAGCTCTGGCTAGAACAGTACCAAGCATGAAGCCAGCGGCTGTCTTTCTCAGAACATCAATGCCCCGCGCGCCCGGTGCATTTTAAAGAACGGCCTGTGCATTGCAGAGCTTAGATAAGGTTTCTGTGACTACCGGCGCTTCTTGGGCCTGGCTCAGTTCCCCCAGGTCGTGACAAGACTTTGCTTCACTACGACCGACTTAATGGAATGCCCAACCGTCTCCCCAACCGTCTCATTGGAGAGGGAAATCAACTCTGGGCTAAATGACGCCTATCAGATACCTATCAAACATTGATTAGAGTGAAGATGCTATATTTACATCTGTAGAAGTGAGAATAATATCCTAGTGTACAAACAAGATCCAATCCGCCCCCCGTCCCAATGCCAAATGCTGCCAGTAGTTAGTATAGTACATGTTTTCGAACATCCAAACCCCAAAAAAAGAATTGCGCCAAATCAAAGCCACTTATTCGTCGGCAGAACGCTTGTTGTACACTTGACGAAGCTTCTTTTTATCATTATGCTTCTTCCAACTGGGGATATGCTGGCCCCTCTTTTTGACAGGGACATCAGGAATATCCGAGTCATCAACTGTATAGTCTTCATCCTCCTCCTCCTCTCCTTCATTCTCAAAGTCACCCTCTTCCTCTGCGTCACGCATAGAATTCTTGGTCGCCACACGGCGGGCCAGACGCTCCTTCTTACCCTCACCATGCTTATCGCCAAGGTTCAGGTTGCGCGGGATGCGGGTTTTGGCTCCCAGGGCCCACAGGTCTCCCCAATGAGACTTGCGGGCGTCGCGGTAGGCCTGGCGACTGTAAGAGCGCGGAACGGTCCAGCGCTCAATTTTGCCGGCGGGTGTGCAGAGATCGAAGATGACATGGCCGCGGCGTTTCATGGGTGGGTAAATGGCGCGGGGAAGAGACAGAGCGTGGAAGGCTGGTTTGTTAGGGATATCAGACTCCTCAGGGTCCTCAAACCCTTCAAATGCGGCATCTGTAGCCTGGGAATCTTGACGAATTGCTTGCTCTTGTCGTAGGTCTACGCCACGCTGCACGGCGAGGTAGCTGAATTTAAGATCTTCGTGGTTGCGGTCTTTCGCTCCCATTATGCGCTGCAGGAATGGAGGGCGAATGTATCGCTGCTCGAAATGGCAGTAGTCCCTACGACCCTTAGTAGCACCTGCAGAATTGTGCATCGGGCAGGTTGAGTGGTTGGTGCAAGGGGCCACGATCATTCCGCGCTCCTTCTCAATGACCTCGCGTTGGTCAGGGTCTTCGAGGAAGTTGTCAAATTCGGTAGAGCCGGGGCTTGCGATATGGCGCTTCAAGAGCATTTCACGAGCGCCAGAGATAGCCTCGAAGCCCTTCTGGCGGCCCTTCTCGAGCAGAATTAAAATACCCCCGTTGGGGTTCAAAAGAGACCATAGGTTCTCCACGTGCTGTTTACGCTCATATTCTTCTTCAAGGCCGAGAAGAGAGTGTGGTGCGATGATGATATCGTACTGCTTGCGTTTAGGGGCCTTCCGCGAGTCGTCAATTGTAGGCTTCCCGCGCACATGGACGTAATCAGGTAGTCGTGGGAGGAAAGTCGTGTTTTCCAGGATGGCAGAAGCGCGCAGCCGAAGAGCATCGGAGCCTGTCAGCACAGTTG